TTGCATTGGGGGAGGGCTCCAATCCACCTGCCCCACCCTCCAGCACTGGCTGAAAAAAAAACCCCAGACCAAACTCTCTCCACCCCCTTTCCCTATTTCCCATTCTGAAAACAGTCCCGGGGCTGGAAGGCTGTGCAGATGCAAGCTAGTGAAGCCACTCCATTTTGGAGCATCTTCATCTGAATCCTCATGCAATGAGGGGATTTTTGCAAGATCGGACCCTTTTTAAAGCTCTCTGCTGCCATGCACTTCTGTTTAGTCATGGTTGTAGAGCATTTCAAGAGGTCAGATAGAAGTGATAATTTTTGCCCTGTCTGTGGTTATTATAGCTGGAGGACTTTGTTAGTGCTGGCACTTGAGGCTGGGTAATAAGGAAGGAGCTGTGCTTGGGGCCAGGCAGCTTCCAGCAACACCTAGGCTGCTGCCACTGCTGCTTCTCCTGAGCCTTCCAGCTCCAGTCTGACATCTGCAGGGGGAGGGACAATGGTGTGGGGGAGGGAGCTGCAACATAAATACAGTTTGCAGATGCCTGTTCCCATTGCTGGGCCCACATCACATCTGGGAAGCGGGGGCAGTGCAGACACAGCTCCCAGCTACCTGGTCTCTTGTACTGCAAGAGCCACCCTGCCTGCGTCAGACCAGAGTCAGGTTGTTCTGGCCCAGGGCTTGTAAAACGTTATTGGCTTCTGCTTTAATAGATTAAATGCTTCCAGTCACCTTTAACTGCATTGCACTTAGAACTCCTGAGCGCCTTCTATGAAGGCCAAAGTCTTGTGTATTTGTGGAAGCACTTCCTTTTCTTTTTTGGCACTGACGTTTCTCAATATACAGTCTTCACATTGCCTGAACTAAATAGGATACCTGTACTCTAGGGGGAATTCTTGCATGTGCTAGTCCTAGAAAGTGCTAATACTAAATGAATACGTGTCTTTGTATGCAGGTGCACACGCACATACCTAGATGCATAAAGCCCTGCAGCATAGCTGTTCCCAAAAAGACAGGAACATAAAACACTAGTCAGTGTTGGCTTTGATTTCAAAGATGCTAGGCCAGAGCTTTTTGCCCTCCTCCGAGATCACTCAAATGCTTGTTCTGGACAAGCAGATACATGCATCCAGGAAGCATTCTTCAGTTACAGACAATGTAGGTAATGCACAGGTTAGATTCTGATCCATGCTGAAGTGCCTTTGTACCACCTTGGAGCTAACTTTTAACTAACCTTTCTCCAGCAGCATAGAGACATGTCAGAGCTTAAAGCTGCTAGGGTGATCCATGGGAGCAGATGCAGCCAGGCCTAAACTGGCAAACAAGGATCTAGGCACTGCAACTGCCCCTGCAGTCTGCGCACAGCAAGGTAGTTAATTCCCCAGGAACTGATGCAGCACTTCTAGAGGAGAGAGCGCTGACTGATAGGCAAACTGTGGGGAAAGCCTTGTCAAGTGGTATTTCCTCTTTCTGTAGCTTCAGTTTTGACAAAAGTAAACTTTTAACCGGTTACTGTAATTCATTGTTTTACCAAACATGCTTCCTCTCCTCTAAGGAGATGTGATCACTGAAGTGGTCAACATGTTATAAGACATGCCTGTTAATGGGGAACAGCACCTTCTGTGTTCTTGGCTTTGTTTGCATGGCTGTAGAGCTGTTAAAGTATGTGTGCACCCTTCTCTCTCTCTGGATATCAATGCAGGGGGTAAATCCTGGCCATACCCACTCAGCATAAGGGTGATGACCCCTAGCTGCCATGCACGTGGCTCTATTTTAGGTCAGGCTGGTAAAAACTGACAACATTTACATCTCAACCATCTCTCTGTCCAGCCCAGGACTGCAGCTCAGAACCAAGTCCCATCTACTTGCTCTTGTTCTGGGCATGTCCAAGCCTGGCAATTAGGCAGTGATGATGGCTTGGTTCTGAGCATAGGCAGAAAGATGGCCTGATGGCTCCCTCCTCTCATGAGACAACTTCATTTCAAAGCTATTTAGCCAGGGACATGCTCTGCCACATGCTTTGTTGTCCTGCCCACCATTTGTGTATTCCAACAGCTAGGCTCCCCAGTGCCATGCTAGGCAATACTGCATTTTTCGTGTATACAATCCACATCTCGCTCCTCCCAAATCAGCTCTCCCCTCCAAAAAACCCCAACCAAACAAAAAAACTGGAGTGCATGTACTCACTGGTGAAGCTGACTTACTGACTAGGATAGAAGCACCCTGCATTGATTGCTGCTCCACAGTGCAGCAGCTGTTGTACTGCTTTTCAGGAAGCTAAGGGAGTCAGTTGACTTAATGGCTTGTTCTTCATTCCAGAAGTGGTAATGATTGTCTCTCCTTTTTTTTTAAAAGATCCTGATTGTTCAACTACTCAAGCTAACCGTTCTTAACACAGCTTTACTCTGTTAGCTGCTCCCAGTCTCTCTTCCTGTTTCAGTCTGGGAGAGACTAACTCATTCCAAAATCATAGATCCACCTATGAAGACCTGTCTTCAAGTTGAGCAGGAAAGGGAGAGTGAGCTAACTGAAGATTAGGCTCTGTCTTTTCTCTATGTAGCCATAACTCTGGGGACCACCCCCCACCCCCCAAACCTCCTGCCCTTTTCATTCTGCCTTTCAAAAGCTAGGATTATGTTATATTCCAAGACTTGTTGCATGTGAGAGTACGGTGGTACACTGAGCAGTTCATAGCAAAATTGGCAATGGACAACTCCTTTTGTAGGTACGTAGAACAGTCAGATTACAACTAATTACCTTAAAAAGAAGTTTCTCTTTTTAAATCGTGCTGTTTGCCCTGACTTAACTTTTCAGTAGGTGGCCAAAAAGCAATTCTGAGCCATTTCGTTTCCCAGGTGGTCCTAGTTGTGCCTAGGGAAAACTTTTCAAACAGATCAAGGAATGCCTGTGTAGCCTCTTAGGAAGAACGTGCCTAGCAGTCATGTGAGAAGTGAATTTCAATCCAGATCCAAACTTGCCTCCTAGCTTCGGTGGGGTAAAGACCCACCTTTTGACGTTCTAGTGAATGTCTAGGTTTTAGTGCATGTGTACTACTGTACCATCACTGCACTTCAAGTACTGAGAAGCCACAGTGGCTCCCAATTCTTTCAAGTTCCAGGAAGAGCAAACCTAATATGGATGTGGGAGAAAATCTGATATGGGAGAGGAGAAAGAAGAGGACAATTTACAACTAGTTCTGTTGTAAGGGCATCACCAGGGAGGCCTCTGTGCAGTGTCATAATTCTGCATGCTACGTAGCAGCTTGAGAAACAGGACCTGGTTTTGCTGGGATGACAGTCCCATGTCTGTGAATAATCCCCACTTCCTGGAACACTAAAATGCTGAGCCATACAGCAAGTACACGAACAGCAGTCAGTGGTTTTGGGTGCAGCAAAGGGGAGAGGTTTTGAACTGGAGGTGAGCTGGAGGCTGCTTGAAGGTGTGGAGTTAAAAAAAACCAAAAAAAAACCCCAAAAACAAAAAACAAGCCAACCCCGCCCCAAACAAACAAAGAAATAACTGCCATTGCCAGCTTGATGTTGTTTTTAGATTTAGCTTTTCCTGCAGTGACCCACAGATGTACAGAACAAGTTAACTGATATAAGTTGGTAAAAGCAGCATGTGTGGTGGGATGGACTGCCCGTGCATTTGCCGCCTTTCAGAAGCCCAGAATCCAAATAAAATGAACCAGCCCCCTCTTCCTTTTGGTTTTGCTACTGCCTTCTGGCCCCCAGCTGTTCATGTTTCCTCACTGCTCCAGTTGGTGACCTTGCTTGCTATTGCTCTTTTCCAGTGAGCACCCAGAAACATGCAAGGTGCTGTACAAAGTATGCCTCATTCCTACTCTGAAAAGCTTGCAAAAATCACAGCTTGACTTTGAGGAAAGAGCAAAGGAAGACCCTGTAGGAGGAAACCTAATGCTATGAATAGGAGAATGTAGGTATGCAACAAGTGCTATCGCATCCACCTTAATTTGTTTTCAATTCCTTTTTATATTTGGGAGTGGATAGGGATCTGTGGAGGTCTACGACTTGATCTGTGTGGCTACTGCTAACGAGAGGAAATGCAGTCGTAGTGGGGGAATGGGGTGGAATTGTAACGACACAAGACAAAGTTTCCACTTGTGCAGAAAGTCTGCCTCAAACCAAGCCTTTCAGAGTATGAAGTGATTTTTGGGTTAATAATGAGGTAGTATTTTACCTAAGGAAAAGGATTCCCTTTTCTTAAGGGAAGAGGGTGTTGCAAGTTGGTTTTAAAAGCGTAAGAGAAGGAAGAACTGCAACTGCTACAGGGTGCAGCTGTGCCCTCCTTAGTAACGTGAGTTAGCATGTGGGTATTGTTCCTGTGCTCCATAAGCTGTTTCTGGAATATACTGATGAATTTAGTCTCCAGCTTCAAAGCCTGAAATAAATTGGACATCAAGGACATTCCCCAAACCCATCTGTGGACCTAGACTAGGAAGCTCCCTTCTCTGATCTTTCTTTCCTTTGTGCAGCAACAAGTAGCAAAGCCATTTGTATGTTAAATGCATGTTAATAAAATGATTATTTTTGGCTTTGGGGTAAGAAATCTCACTTGAAAAATATACTGAATAAATAGCATCTTGGAGGGACTGGGTTCTGGCCCTCATGGGTACACTGTCAGGCTCTGAACTGAACAGTACATGTGTGTTTTGCAGCTTAAGAGAACTTTTTTTCCTAAAATGGGAATCTTATTATGATACCTTTTTCCTATGCTCAGTGCCTTGAGTAGGGTATTCAAGGCACACTTGTGATGCATGAAATGTGAGGAAGTTCCTCCCTCAAAGGAACTTCAGATTGGTTTTAAATGTTTTTCATTTAAATGAGCATAAACGCACCATCAGCAACACAATCCATTCTGAAGCCAATGAAGGATGCAGAAGTGTGGCATAGGGAATCTTTAAGATCTTTTTAAAAGTCACTTTTGTCATACCAAACAGTAACATCGGGAACTAATCTGAAAACATGTTCTTACCTTAATTCCACCTTTGGTCTTCTTAATGTTTTTCTTTTTTGACAAGTCTGCTTCAGAGATGGACTTTGGAGGACAAGGAATTTCTGCTGATCTCCTGTTGGTGGCTGTAGAAAACACGAGAGATTGACATCAGAGGTCCAAATCTTAATTCCTACTGAAAAAAATTAAACACCAAAAGTTCCAGCGCCGCAAGTAAGAACTAAGATTCAGCCTGACGTGTATTGTCCAGTGCCTGACAGTTTAGTTGCCACAGTCGTACATAATAGAAAGGGGAATGGATCAGCACATCATTGCAAGGTGTTCACATGCAACAGTTTTTTAGGTTTTAGCTCTGAACACACCACGTGCCTGTGCACAATTAGTTCAGTTTTGTGGGGTGACTTTCTCCCAGAGTGACTTGCACCATGCCGGGCTGTATGCTACCAATCTGCTTTAGGTTGACACTGATGTAAAGGTGGCCATGTGTCTGTACCCACAGGTGAGCTGATCATAACCTTTAGAAAGCCCAAGAATAGAGAGTTGAATTTAACTCTCCAGACACAACAAGAATACTTCAATTCTAATCAACAGAGGATTCCTAACTCATTTAAGAGAAACTTTTTTCATGCAAGTCAACAGGAGGGATGCTCGGATGGGTATGACGGAACTGAACCCCCAAGGCAAAGATATGAGTACTGCCACAACTTGTATACCAGCTCTTCAGTGAAGAACAGGAGTTAATTTGATGAGGCTTTCTTTTTCATGCTAACCCGCTCTTTCATTTGTCAGTGATAAACAGTGTTGTAGCTATGCAGAATACATCTTTATGTCAATGGTCTTGGGGAACAAGACTGTTTTAGCAGAATAAGGATTGCATATGAGTAGTGCTTTGATGCATCTCGTCATTCAATCCCTTAGTTTATATCAGATGCCTTCCTACAAAGCTCTGTCGGGGGGGTTGTCCTTTTGATCACCATCCTAAGTGTAATGTGGAGAGTTTTCCCAACAGCCCTGTTATAATAGGGTCATTTTCACTTGTGTGGCTCCTATGTCTGAATGTGGCTGTTGCCTGTACGGTTTCCCTGATGGTGGTGGAAAGGGGATCTTTGTTGTTATAACTGGGGGATAAAGCTGTGCTGTAAAGACCTGTTGTTTGTAAGGTTTCAGCACATGGATAGGTCCCAAGAGTGTCATCACGTAGTGGCCCGAGATGTATTTTGCCGTCTGTGTAATGGTTATGATCCTGAGGAGACCACATTTTCACAATAGCTCCCATTGTGTAAGGCTTGTTTAGCTTGGCTCGCAGTGACTGAAACTCATGGCTGCCAACGAACGAACTGATGCTACTGGAAAATAATCAGCAGCAACTTGACCACATGTCCTGTGGCTGCCGTCCAAACTAAAATGAGCTAGCATGTGCTGAGGGCAGGGGATACCTTAATTTCACGCTTGCCTCATGGTATTATTTCTGTTACTCTTTTGTCCAGCTTGATTTTTTTCCCCCTCCCCCCACACAAGTCAATGATCTCATACAACCAGTAAATGTCTGTGTTTTAATAAAATAAAATAAACATTTGTCATGTTTATCCCTGAATGCCAGACAGATTAAGGCAGAGTTGCACGTGCTGTTGGAAACGAATCTGGATCCCAGATGACATGGTGAAAGCAGGTCAGCGAGAGGTGACAAGAAACAATATTGCTCCTATTCTACTCTGCAGTCCCTTCAGCATTGGCCCTGGGGAGGTTTCCTAGTTAAATATCCTTAAAAGTCTTCCTAGAAATAGGAAAGCTAGTATTTTGGGGTGTGCTTGCTGATGTTTAAATGCCTCTTGGAGGAAAGGTGCAGTAGTAGCTATCTTAAGCATTGGAGTTAGGGGCACGGCCTCTGAATCCAAACTTCCTAGACCTTAAATGCTGGAGGCTGCAGCATTAGCAAAAGCCCTGGTCATACCCAGTTCACTCTCCCTTTCAGCATTCGCACTCTGTCCCTGTGTGACAGATGCTGAGCAGAGCAAGATGGACCTATGGTCTGACCCAGTAAGTGGCAGTACTTATGTTCTCCATAGAAAGGCAGCTCTGTGCCCTGTGTGGCAGCAGCACATGGAGCAGTGGCAGCAGCTGGGCTGGTGATGGTGGTGACCAAGCTGACAGTGGCAACAGCTGCTGTTTTTGTGACTGTGATGTATGGCTCATAAGCTGTATGTGTAATTGTAAGAGTTTGCTTCCTTCCTGAGGGCTGGCATGACAGCATCACCAGGAAGTTGTCAGCTGTCTTGGTGTAAATTCATTGTTGCAATAAAGCCCTTCTGAGAGCTATACGTGCCTTTTTCTGAGCTATGACAGAGTAGACGTCTGTCAGCACCCCATGTGCTAACTCATGGTGCTTTACGTAAAGTGCCATGAGTCAAAGCACACGCCTCCCCCCAGCCCAACAGATGTTCACCTGTTGGGTTGGGGGTGGGAGGTGGGATCGAGCCTGCCTACCACTGAGGAGGTGGGGGCATGGCAGGGAGCCACGAAATAGCAGGGGGACTCCAAACCACCTGCCCCCCCTTCCAGCTCAGGCCAGGCAAACCCCAGCTGGCAGCTCACTCCCCCTCCCCCTCCCGCTCCCTTCCTGCAGACAGCGGTGGGGGCACGTCAGCCCAGCCCTGATTTACCCCATCAATTAACCCCAGGGAACACAAGTTCTCTAAGACACTCCAAAGTGGAGCACCTTCATCTTATCCCTCATTTGATGAGGGTTAATTTGTTGTATGATCAGTCACTTTAAAAGTGCTGTGTAGCCTTGCGTGTGCATCACAGCATGGCTTTAGAGCTCTTTTCTGGGGGCAATCACGTGATCAATGTAACTGCTGTCTGCTCCCATGGTGTTAGGAGCAGATGAACCCTGCCACCAATAGGAACACAAATATCAGTCGGCAATCGGATGTTTCCTAAATGATAGACCAAACTCCAGTGGCAGCTGAGTCCAGCTCAGGGCAGAGGCTGGCCACGGAGACGATGCAGCCAGCTAAAGTTACACCACCAGAACAGTTCGATTTCCAAACCCCTGGAATGTAGGTTTGATGGAGCAGACGTTTTAATCGCTTCAGGGAAATGTCAGGTCTGGACAAAGAGTCTGAACCTCACCCAGTAGGTACTTTCCTCTACTCAGTGGGGGGTCAGGCTGATGAAATTCTGATATCGCTGCCTCTCACAAATGCAGAGAAAACCTGCTCCGCTTTGGGATTTGCTACAACAATTAGCCTTCAATGAGATCAAATCAATACTCAGCTGATCCCTGATACTAGCCCAATACAATCCAGTGTGAGAAACACATATTGCAGCAGATGCTTCATCCTATGGGCATTCCATGGTGTGTTACACCAACATCAAGAAGCTGGCCATATTGCCTTAGTGTTGAGCGCTTGATCCACCTGAAACTCGATAGGCACAAATAGAAAAAGAAGCAGTAGCAGTTGCATGTACATGTGCGTGATGCAGAACTTTCCTCCTTGGCCTGGCTTTTACTGTACAAAAGGATCAGGAGCCACTCGTGTCCCTGTTAGGAGACAAATGTCTTGATGAACTCCCACCAAGAATCCAGGGATTTTGCGTCGGGATACTGAAATTCGCCTACAATATTGTATGCGTTCCTGGGAGAGTTACAGGCAGCTGATATACTTTCTAGGGCACCATTATGGACACTACGGCCTCTGGAAGAACTCCACCAAGAGGAAGATGTCGCTGTTTATGTGGATATTATTGCGGAGGGGATACCCATGTCTTGTTTCATGACAGACGAGGACCTGGGAAATTCAAGAAGCTGATCCTTTCTGCCAGAAAAGAAAGAAGTACTGCTTGGAAAGATGGCTGACAAGTTCCTGTTGATGTCATTATGCCATGCCAGAAAGGGAGTTAACCTTTATTACTACAATATTCCGTATTATTTCTTTAAATGTCATGACTTTGTATGCCTCCCCTAGCACCATGCTTGCTTCGGTATGGGTTCCTATTCAGAACGACCAGGTCACCAGCCAGCAGAGCTGTCGTGCTCTCCCTCCCAGGTTAGTCTAGTGCCCACTGCTGTCGAGTTGCACAGACATAAGTGTCCACCCCACACATCAGTGCCTTCTTCACACCTCCACCTTCGTTATGCTATTCTCTCCATATTTTGCTGTCCCAATATAAAGCTGTATCTAAAGTTCAAAGATGCTGCAGCCCTACAGCTCCTACTGAGTCCGGTCCACTCTTCTTCCTAGAAGGCTGAGGGATGGTACTGATGACAAAATGAGCTGTCCCAGGACTGAGCTGTCCCAGGACAAAATGAACAGCTCCCAGGACAGAGCTGGGATTCGGCTGCCGAGTCCTTTTGGGGTTTTGTGTATCTTTGTATTACAAGACCGAGTTGGGTTTTTTGAAACCCGTTTCCAACCAGATGCCTTCTCATGCTCTGGAGAATATGGAAGGGGTAGCCACGCTTCCTACTCTAAGCCACATATCAAAATCTTCTTGGGATAGGGAGCCACAGAGGGCATAAGGGAGGCTCTAGGGGACAGGAATGAGCAAAGCCAGGGAAGAGTGGAGCAGAAGATCGGTAGAGAGTCTACGGGAAAGGCCCGGCTGGGCAAGAAGTCTCAACCTGTGAAAAGGGGTTATGGCCCCTCTGTAACGGGATATAGTGCATTGTGCACAGGACAGGTTGCTGCATTCGACAGTTGCTGTTCCTTGCGGGGCAATGATCAAGCAGCCTTTTATGCTGAACAACATTATTTCCTTAGGTTTCTGCTGTCTGCTTGTATACATTTCACACCCCAGGTCTCTCAGTTCAGGCCAGGATCTGCCCTTTTGTCCCCTCTTTGTAGAGATGCAACAACTGTCTTGTTATGAAAAAAAAGTTTCAAAAGAATCAAAACACCTTCCTGTGAGAAGCTGCGACGTGATCAAAAAGCGATTTCTTTTTTGGTCAAGTGCACTTCATGAAAATCGATCTCGGGAACAGTACACAGTATAGGGCCCTGCTGAGATGAACTGGGCTGGAGTCAGATTATGTTGTATTCATTTTCTAAAGTCCCTCGTATGAAAAAAAGAAGAACATAAAGGGAAGGAATTAATTTTATGAAACCCGAGTTGTGCCTCAAAT